ATGAAACACTATACACATATCTCTTTATATTGATGTTCTGCTTTGGCAATCATCTCAGAAACATTGTGCAAAAATTATGTTAAAAATTGTTTCCAGCACTTAAAAAACTTTGTCTTCTGAGATACTTTAGGAATACTTGAAAGTTTTCTATTGAAAAATAATCATGAGGAATACTTATCCTCTTTTAATAATTCACAGTAGATATTTATTATGGTAAGTCTCATGTGAATGTGTTCCTGTTGCTTGTTTTGGATTCTCAGTATCTTCATGTGAAATTGAGTAAAGTATCGCAGGCAACTCACGAGTGGCAGCTGGTTACATTCAGGGCCTTGGAGCCTTCCCCAGATTGTGTGGCGTGTGCATTAGAAACTAATTTAGTTTCTTTTGAAAAACCAAGCATATGGTGACTAAATGAAACAGGGCTATAGAGACTTCATAAAGAGAAGATGGGAAAATGCAATTCTGAGTAATATTACTTTTTTCCTCTCTTACCATGGGCATAAAAGTATCAGGAATAAGATTTCAGACTCCACAAAGGGTAATTATTGTATTAAGGACTTCCTAATGACCTGAAATATTATATGTTCCAAAAACATTAAAATTGAGATTATAAATATATGGAAACTTTTGAGATAGTTGTTCACACCTATCCTCAAATTTCGTAATCTCGATTCACTTCAGCAACAATATACCATTTTTTCTCCATTCTATAATTTCTCACCCTATTTATTTTGCCTCCTGAACTAGCTATCTTTCCTAGGCCCGCAGATATAACCCTAACAGTTTTGGTTTCAGAAACACAAAAATTATAATTTTCAGACAGGGACAGGGAACATGTTTTCACTCAAAATTGTATACTAATACTTTTCCTTATTTTAATTAACTAACATGTGTCTTTCCAACAGAATATAATTTGATCACAATCATAGAGGTAACATTATCAATAACTGAATTCCATAAATGAGAACTGTTGCTGTAACTTCATTTTACATAATGATTGTAATAGCTATGGAAAATATAATAAATAATTTTACAGTGACCAGTAATGACAAACTTTATGGAGTATATTAAAATATTTGATTATGGATCTGAAACTAGGGCTGTTACCTGATAAAAATTAATGCATGCTGAAATATATATTGTTGTAGGGTGTATTTTTATGTCAGTGCATCTATTTGAAAATTTTCCTGTGTTCTAAAAGAAAGTTAAAGAAATAATAACATCTAGGAGAAATCTTTCCAGTAAGATATTCATGCTTCCTTGTAGAAAATGTAATCATTTGGGGCCATTTGTCATCCCAGTAATCTGTTTAAAAATATGTGTTTGTGAAATAAATTGATAATTACATTTACTAGAGCCTCCCTAATAATATTATGTTTTGAGATATATAACCTACTTTTCTCCTGATATAAAAATTTGCAGAAACAGCCAGCCATAACTTCCTAAAAATATCTTTATTAAAGTAAATTAGATTTTGGTTAAAATATAGAATGTTTCAAAGCTTAAAATAGACAAATAGCTACAATTACTGTTTTCTGCTACCAAGAGAAAATGATTAGACATATTTTCCTGCTTATCTTGTTATTTGGAGAGGAAAATGTTACAAGTCGAACAGACAACAAGAATATTAAGTTAATAGATGTTTCAGAGCTCAATGTTAGAACACACCCATGCATAAAGAAATAAAGTGAAAAATGAAAGAAAAAGGAAGACTATTTTTAAAGTTTATATTTTTAACAACTTAATTTTGAGACTCATATACATATATAATGCATTTTATCATAAACACCCTCATTTTCCTATCCCAGCTCCCCTTTCCAAAATTATACTCCCTGATTTTTAAATTTTACTTATTTTATATTTCCTTAGTTAGTTACGTATGTTTGGACATCTTTATAATGGCACTAATGCCAAAGAGAGAGAACAATTTTGGGGACTCAGTTATCTTCTTCCACTAAGTGAGTCCCTGGGCTCAAACTCAGGTCCTCAGCCTTTGCAGCAATTGTAGTTATTCATCTGGTTTAATCCTTCTCAGTCCAATTAAGACTACCCATATACATATGATGGTGGGGCTATCCACTGAATCATGGGAAATCTTCTAGGGACCACATTCCCAAAAAAACATAGTTCTCCCTCCTTTAGTAGCCATTAACCTCAATAGCACTGGAGGTAGGAGGTATGGATAGTGGCTCATGGATGACTCCTCTGTCCAAGGATAATGACTCATGACTGACTCCACCATCCATGCTAGAGTGTGGACTCACTTGATCTTGTGTATATCTTGTGCAAATGATCACAGATGCTATGAGATTGTGAGCCCCGTAGGCACGTTACTAAGGAAGATAGCATTTCATGGACTTTGTTACAACCCCATGTCTTTCATTCTGATAGGTTTCTTGAGACTTCAGGGGTATTTAAAATAAATATGTGCAGTCACATTCTCTTTTCTGTGACCAGTGATGAAACTGCAATAATCGCTGCCTACTAAAACATTAGCTTTACAGACTTAAAGTATCAAAAAGGGGAGATATTAAATCAGTTGCAGAGGCTTTTCCTGATCTAAGATTCTGCCACAAGTTTTCTAAATAGGACTTTATTAAATAATGTTCCTATTTTCACTGTTAATACCATCTATTGAACAGTTAATGTACACATATTGGTAAGCCAAGTATGTTATTAAGTTTTTCTCATAAGTGGAGCTAATTACCACTCAATAAACAAAAAAAAGTCTCAAAAAGATCAATTTATGTGCACAAATTGGTCTGGAAGGACTCAAATGATACAAAAAAATAAATGACGGCAAGTTGGGTGGGAATGGCAGGGGAGTGTAACAAAGATAGAAAAGTTAGTGAATATAATTAAACATACTGTATGAAAACTTTGAAGAATTCATTTAAAAATCTCTCCTTAAAATGTAGTAATACTTAATATTTTTTTTCAGATTTCAGTCTGAAAGCTAGATTCACAGTTAAAATGATTCCTTTCAAGGATTATTACCTTTGGTAATAAATAAACCCTGAGAACTACAATAATAAGTGGTCTGGCAAGACATACAAACTGGTACATTAGTGATACAAACAATATGAGAGTAAACAACCATGACTATGACCAAAAAAACTTGTCAGGAGAAAGAATAAAGATAGAAGAGTAGACATGTTGGAGCGTTGTACATACATGAAATTGTCAAGTATAGGTATGAAAAGTCAATAAAAATAGAACCCCCCTCAAATACTGTTAAGCCAGAAAATACAGAGCAATTATTTTCAGAGGAAATACAGAATAAACTTATTATCTGTACTTTTTATTATCTTTGACAAAGGTCAATACTTACCTTTGCTTTATGTGTGTTTCTACTTAATGGTACTGTACACACACACACACACACACACACACACACACACACACTATATATATATATATATATATATATATATATATATGAGACAAATAAATAAATCTCCCTCCCACACCTCCCCCCAACTCACCCCCAGTCCACTCCTCCTCACAGGTAAGGGCTCCCATGAGGAGTCAACAGAGTCTGGTACAATGTTGGGAGGAACAGCCCCTCTCCCATACATTAAGAATGAGCAACGGTATTCAACAATAGGGAATGGGCTCCAACAAGCTAGCTCATGTACCAGATTTGTATCATGGTCCTACTTCCAGCCGCTCTGATAGTCCAAGCTTCACAACTGTCTCCCATATATGGAGGGCCTAGTCCACCCCCTGGAGTCTCCACAGTTGTAGGTCTAGATTCTATGAGTTTCCACAAGCTTGATTCAGCTGTCTATGTAGATTTCTCCATCATGATCTTGACCTCCCTTGCTCATATATATTCCCTCCTCACTGTCTTCGCCTGGATTCCCAGAGCTCAGCCTGCTTCTTTGTTGCAGATCTCTGTGTCTGGTTCCATCAATTACTGTATGAGAGCTCTATGATGAGAGTTGGGGTATTCATCAATATGATTACAGGGGTAGGCCATTTCAGGCATCCTCTTTACTATTGCCAGGAGTCTTAATTGGGGTCCTCCTTGTGGATTCTTGGGAGTTACCATAGCATCAGGTTTCTCCCTAAGTCCATAGTGACTTTCTCTATTAAGACATCTTTTTCTTTTTTCTTCCACTGAATCTCTCCCTGCCCAGGCCATCTCATTCCCTCCTGTTCTCATCCTCCTCCCCTTTCCACAACTACGCTCCCACCACCAGTTTGCCCTGTAATTATCATCTAATTTCTCTTCCCAGGGTGATCCATCTGTCCCTCTTAGGATCCTCCTTGTTACCTAGCTTCTCTGGAGCTGTGTACTTTAGTGTGGTTCTCCTTTGCTTTATATCTAATATTGAGTGACTTTTTAAAACAAAATTTTCATGCAGAGTTATTATTTTGTTTCTGATATCCTTTTATCTTAAGTTGAGATTTAGTGAAATAAGTCAAAGCTTCAAAAAATGATACAATCATGATAGTGATTTGTATTTACTAGTTGTTTTCAAAGTATACATGTTTGCTTTTTGTCATCAAGGGCTTTTGTTTCTCTTTGGGAATGTCACTGTACCACAGAGCATGAGGTGGTAAGTGTTTCCATATAGAACAGACTATGCTCAGAGGCTCTACATTATACGTGTCCTGAACAGAGCTTCTCCTGTCATCACCACATAAAGCTCGTCTTTTAAGACATACTAATCTTTTTGAGGGAAGGCTCACCCTGCCATGTTTGAGGTCTCTCTGATCAGCTCATTTTAAGAGAAGTCTCAGCTACCTCTTAGACCTGTTCTCAAAGCACTTTTGCAAAAACCGATGACCAAAGTTTTGTTTTCACTCATTTAAAGCCACATGTACACCTTCAGTGCTGTTTCTGAAGCATCCTGGGTAAGAAAGTTTGTAGTATTTCAACACTGAAACTTCTTCCACCATGGGCTAAAGCAAAGGTCTGATGTCTAAAGGTACATAAACGAAATGCATGCACAGCAACCTTCAATCTGTGATTTCCTTACCCTATACAATAGAGCCATGCCAGGACGGTGAATTTCAGTGTAAAGATGGAAAGTGCATTCCGATGGGGAATCTCTGTGATGGACACACACACTGCACTGATGGCTCTGATGAAGAACATTGTGGTATGTCTTATTTCCATGAAAATGCTTGTGATACTTTACCTTTGTTTGTGGATTTTCCAAACATGAAAGGAAGGTTATATATAGATTCATTTCAAGTGTTGAGGAATGTGAGTTCCCCTCCTGATATGAGCACAGCTAGACCATTTTGGTTTGCAGAAAAACTAACATATAGGTTGCTAGTTTGTGTATATTACTTGTTAAACTTGACAATGTAAGGGTAAGTCTGGGACAATAAAGATTCAGTCAGAAAACATAAATTTCAAAGACAGAAAATAACGCAAACCAGGTACTATAGTACTCTCCATATTTGCTGCTCTATTATGTTTATTGCCTTCAGAATGCATATTTTAACTGAATTCTCTGGATTGGGTGGCTTAGGAATTTTAGTTCTTAAGTGTCTTTTATTTCATCTACTTTGATTGGTTTCAGGCCACCCCCCCTTTTCAGATTGCAATGATGATATGAGTAATATGTTATTTTATTGTACATTGTTTAATTTCTAAGAAATGATTACACGTATTATGCTCATTGCACTATAAATAAGTGTGGAAAAAGAGTCCCACATTTAGAAACTTACTAGACACAGTCCAGAAATAACTAAGTGTTGGGGAAGTTATGTATCTGTCAAAGATCACCTACCTCACAAAAGCTAAGGATATTTTTTGAGTCTCACTCTGTTTAATTCAATACTAAACTCTTTTAGCAAGAATAATGTAAAACCAATAACAACAACATGGTGTTTGTAGGTCAGACTGCCATTACAGAGGATTGTTTTACTTGATAACTAGGTTATGTTCAATCCCTTTCTGGATATAATGAACATAAGATTCTTTGCAGAATATGTGTAAGACAGTAAGAAGATGGTGGAAATCAAACATGGTAAATGAAAATGCAACGCATCTGGAAAAGGCAGAATGAGGGGGAAAAAAACAACTGAGATTTCTCCTGAATTTCAGTTTTCATTCCTTTAGTGACTATGTGTGTAAGCAATGATTGTCATAAATAGCTTTAAATTACTGAAATAACAAAACACACAGATTCATTTTGTTCGTTTGCTAAGAAATAAACTTGAGTGTTTCTGCTTTCTTTTATTTTATAGTCATAGAAAAGGACAAAATTGCATCAACTAAATTTTTATTTCTCAATTTCTATCTCCTGAGATACTCCAGAAAAATACTACAATCAGTGGCTAAGATCTAACAGTTAAGAATGAGCACATTTTAGCTAAGGCCAACATTCCTCTATGAACTTACTTTAGATGACCCGATAAATACTCCAATATCCTTAATGCATCTCAATGTACTTATTCAAGTACATTCAAGAATGCTGTTATTATAACTATTTATGGTATGCAATGTGACATTGTGCTTTATGTGTACAATGGAGAATAAGTAAAATTAGCTAAATATTCTATACAGTGCCTCAGATGTTTAATAATTTTGTAATGATACGGTTTGAAATTTATTTTTTATCAATTTAAAAGTACATAGTTAACATATCTTTACTGTACACTGGTCCTCAAAAACCTTTCTTCCTCCTGTCTAAATGAATTTTTTCCTTTTGACTAATGTCCCCTCATGGCCCCCACTGCCTGGTTTCATGTAACCACATCTGTTCTCTGCATTTTTAGTGCGTTTTCTCAATGGCACAATGAACAACAATGGTTTGGTACAGTTAAAAATAAACAATGTCTGGCATGTAGCTTGTGCTGAGAACTGGACCACACAAATTTCAAATGAAGTTTGTCATCTCCTGGGACTGGGGTAAGTATGAATACTATGCTCCTTTTATTATTATTAATATGTGTATTCTCTCTCCCTCTCCCTCTCCTTCTCCCTCTCCCTCTCTCTCCCTCCCTCTCTGGTGTGCATATGTGAGAGACTTTGTCCTATTTATTTTCATGATATCTCATCCTCAGCCAGATTTTACTGTCTGGTTCATTGACCTCATTTCCTATGGATCATAGTTCTTGCTGCAAAACATGGAGACCAAAATATAGGGTTTTTCAGAATATATATATATATATATATATATATATATATATATATATTAAGT